GCCGCGGCCGGCCTGCCGGCCGCTCCTCCGACGCCGCCCCAGCCCCTCACCTGGCTCCGCTCCAGCAGCGTGTTAGAGCGGGACCGGACGGCGGCAGGCTCCAGCGCCAGAGTGGAGGGCTGCTGGACGCTGAGGGGCCTGAGAAAGGTGAAGTCACTGCCGTCCGAGGCGGGCGAAAAGCACGTCCTGTAGCAATGGCTCTGCGAGTCTGTGGGCCGCAGGGTCACCTCCATGTACTTGAGCGTGCCGTCTGAGCTCACCTGCAGGTTGGGGCTGGACTGCTTGTAAAAGTCCCGGGAGGGCGAGTCGTGGCGCCCGCAGCACTGCCCCGCATCCCCGTCCCCATCGGCGTGCCCGCAGAGGCACTTGGCAGACAGAAAGGTGAAGGTAACTAAAGACAAGAGACTGATGGTCGCTAGGGCCACAATGAGGTAAAGGGTAAGATCTGAAAGCTCGGGCGGGTTAGTGAGGAAGTCGCTGGATTGGGGCATTTCTTCGGGGTCCTCATCCTTCAAAGCCAGCAGCACCGTGGCGGTCGAGGACAGTGAAGGGTCACCATTGTCCCTCACTAGGACCACCACTTGCTGGGTGTCGGAGTCATCCTCCAGTAAGGCCCGGGCAGTGCGCACCTCCCCTGTGTGCGCAGACACGAAGAACAGTCCTGGGGCTGTGGACTGTGGCAACAGGGAATAGGAGAGCCATGCATTGTGGCCCGCATCAGCATCCACAGCGGTCACCTTGGTGACCAAGGAGCCAGGAGGGGCAGAGCGAGGGAGCCGCTGGGGGACTGAGAGTTCCCAACCAGGACGGGGGTGCAGCACAGCCGGGGCGTTATCATTCTGGTCCAGAACAAACACATGCAGGGATGCATTGGCCTGCAGTTGGGGAGAGCCAGAGTCTCGCACCCCCACCACAATCTGCAGCATCTGCAGCAGTTCATAGTCAAAGGTATGCTGCGCAAAGACCCGCCCATCCTCAGGGTTGACATACACAAAGGAGGAGGCAGGGGGTCCCTGAACCTGACTCCCTATGATGAAATAGGTGAGGCGGGCATTATCTCCTGCATCTGGGTCCAAGGCAGCCACTGTGCAGAGGAGGGAGCCTGGAGGCCGGTTTTCTGGGATGTAGGCAGTGTAGAGCTGCTGGGTGAAGCGCGGTGCATTGTCGTTAACGTCTGAAATGTTGAGTCTGAGGGTAAGGTGTGTGTGCAGGGGAGGTGAGCCAGCATCACTGGCCCGCAGCTCGATGATGTAGTGTGATGTAGCCTCTCGGTCCAAGGGTTGGCTGGTTAGCAGTGAGTAGTGGTTCTCAGAAGGCTTAATCTGAAATGGCAGGTCTGGAGAAATATCAAGGCTCACTTCACCATTTCTACCCGAGTCTCGGTCCCTCACGTTAAACAACCCCACGACTGTGCCCACTGATGTGCTCTCCAGGACAGGGTTGACCAAGGAGGCCAGGAGCACCTCTGGGGCATTGTCATTGGCATCCACCACATCCACTTGAATCACACAGTGACCTTCCATGGCTGGCTGCCCCTGGTCACGAGCTCTTGCATGAATTTCATAGAAACTTGAGTCCTCAAAGTCTATGGGCCCTGACACATGGATTGCTCCACTGTTAGGGTCCAGGCCAAAGAGATTCTGCACCGCCTCTGACGTGTGATCCCCAAAAGAGTAGTCTAGTTGGCCATTGGTACCCTCATCTGGATCGGTGGCATTGAGGCAGAGCAGTAGTGTACCTATTGGTGCATTCTCTGGGAGTCCCACACGCAGAACTGACGGCTGGAAGGTTGGCGCATTATCGTTGACATCCAGCACTATGACAGAGATAAGGGTGGTCCCTGAGCGGGCTGGGGTGCCCCCATCCACAGCAGTGAGCACCAGCTCATGCCTTGCCTGGGTTTCACGGTCCAGCTGCTGCTCTAGTACTAGTTCAGGGAACAACTTCCCATCTTTTAGCGTCTTCACATGCAGAGAGAAGTGGTCATTGGGGCTTAGCGTGTAGAAGCTCACGGTATTGGTGCCCACATCTGGATCCTGGGCACTATCCAGTGGGAATCGAGCCCCGGGTGCTGCTGATTCTGAGATGCGCACCTCTCGCTTAGGGGTGGCGAAGCTAGGAGAGTTGTCATTGAGATCCAGGATCTCTACCTCTATGCGGTTTAGTTCCAGAGGGTGTTCAGTCACCACCTGCACTGGCAGCAGGCAGCTGGTGCTGGCTCCACACAGACTCTCGCGGTCAATCTTTTGATTCACTGCCAAAGCACCACTCACCAAGCTCAGGGAAAAATAGCGCCCATTCTCCTCAGAGCCCAACCGCAGTCGGCGGCTGGACAGATCTGTCACCTTTAAGCCTAGATCTTGAGCAACATTCCCCACCAGCGTCCCCGGCTCAGACTCCTCCACCACTGAATAACGCAGCTGCCCAGACGCCCAGCCCCAGCAGCACAAGGACAACATGCACAGCACTTGCCATTTCCCAGGGAGCTGTGGGGTTGTCTTTGGCCCCATGACCCAGAAGTCCCTTCCTGGAGAGTGACTCTAGGCTGTCCTGTCTCCAAGGTAGACCCAGGGCTTGTAATGCAGCAGCTCAAATCGCTTATGCCTCCTTCCAGTCTCTTAAAAACTGCTCCGAGGTCTGTCTGCCTGCCTGTAGCAGTTCTTCTTAGTCACCAAATGGCGGGGGTGGGTGGGGAGGGAGGGGAGTTGAATTGGAGCTGGGGGAGGAGAGGCGGGCAAGAAGAGCAGATCCCCCACCTCAGCTCTGAATCTGATTGGCCAAAAAGTCTGTCTGCTCGCAACCAATTATGAAGCCTCCTTAGCCCTGGAAAGCTTAGGAATAGGCACAGCAAGTCTGTGTCACAGGAGCCTCCCCACTCATTTCGTGCCGCAGGTTGATCAGCCCCCTTGGCAGCAAAGTTTGACAGCTCAGATGGTGCTCAGCAGGGGAGACAAAATAGTACAAAACTCTTCAGTGTTCTGCCCCAGCAACTTCCTGCACAACTTTTAGAAGCTTCCACTACTTTCCTTGAAGCAACAACAAAATATATCCCTCTGGGAAAGGCAAAACCCATGTGTTCTCTCTCCCTCCCCGCATCCTGTCCAACACTGCTAGGGTGAAAGAAAACATTTGTTAGGACCCCGAAGTGTTTTGCTCTGTCTGACTCCAGCATGCTTTTTGGAAAATCTCGATATCAGCTGATGGCTATAGAACTCAGCGTTTCCAAGATCCTGGATGTGTACTGTGGAATGAGCATCACCATTTGTTCAGGTAAGGGAAACATTTCTGGAAATGATCCAGGTCACCCAAGAGAGTGATCAGAGGCTAATTCAAGAGAATCAGACTTAAACTCTACAGAGTGACTGTCTCTGTGAATTCCCCAACCTCAGTCAGTTTTCTGACCTTCAGTGACCTCACTCGCAGTTCTGTTTCCAAAGAGGTAATTCCTACCCCCCTCAAATCTACTGCATCCTGGACTTGGAGCCCTGAAGACTTGGACCAAAATGCCTCTGCGACAATCATGCTAAGTCAGTGTCTTTCTACTCCCTTGATTCTCGCTCTCTCTTTTTCTTTTTTGTCTTCTCTGCTGTGTTTCAAGCAGAGGGTTCCCTTCACAGTATATTTGGGAATATTAGCTCTTATAGCTGTGAAAGCTCTTACCTCCCCCAATCCATTGGGAAATGGCAACCTGAAGTCAAGATACTCCACAACCTGCCCCCTTCATTCATAGGAAAAGCAAAGAAAGCAGCCATCTTGGTTTAGGAGATTGCCTGGTGCAGCAAAGCCTTGTGCATGATAGCTTTCCATGTGCCCGGGTGCCAGCAGCATGCTTCCACAACAGCCTGACATTTAGTCTCCCATGACTCTTTCTTCTTACTCTTGGCTATGACCACAACCCACCCCAAGTACTAATCTGTGACAACTCCCTGGCTAATTCACAAAAACACTTCTAAAGCACAGCATCTACCACATAGTTATCACCCACAAAAATGGTGACATCACTACGGGCACTTACAGAGAGGCCAGTACTCTCCGGGACACAGCCCAGCCATGTGCCTGCATTGGAGCAGCCCTCAGGCATTGGCCGCGCCTGTGAAGGTCTCACCTCTAGCCCATAGAGAAGATCAGAGGGTGGGCAGCTTGGGCGAACAGGCTCCCCTGCCATAGGTGCACTGGGTGACTTCACCATCATGAAGCTATCGCTCCGAGTGGGTGCAGAAGCCAGGGGTGTACAGCCATGGGAGTGGCCGCCCACATCGACAAACTTGATAGGATCATCTGACCCTAGCTGGATTCGGAGGATCCCATTGGAAGGAGGAAGCCCCTCCCTCCTTCGAGATCGGGTGAGACAGGCACAAGTGCCAGCAGGAAAGCAGGTCACTCCGCATGCAGCCCCACGCAGACACTTAGAGAGTAGTGCCACGAAGGAGCCAAAGGAGACAAAGCAAATTGCCACAAGAGACACAGCCAAGTAGAGGGTCAGACGGGATTCTCCTTCCCTTGGAGCTGAAGATTCTCGGAGATCAGGGACAACCGGATGAGTATCTTCCTCCAGGGACACCAGGAGAGTAACAGAGGTAGAGAGTGGTGGATTACCACTATCCTTCACCACAATGACCAGCTTCTGTGGTGGGAGATCAGCTGGGATGGGAACAGCCGTCCGCACCTCTCCAGCATAGCGAGAGACTGCAAACAGGCTGGGATCTGGGGCCTCCAGGAGCTGATAGGAAACCCAAGCATTGTAGCCCGAATCCAAGTCCACGGCCGTCACCTTTGTGACTAGGTGTCCAGCACCAACTGATGGAGGCAGTGCTTGGGGACATAAGGAGCCAGGCCGGGCTCGAGGGCGGAGCACAGCTGGAGCATTGTCGTTGAGGTCCAGCACAAAGAGGCGAACCGTGACGGTACTGCTAAGGGGTGGGTTGCCTCGGTCTCTGGCCTGTACCTCGAACTGTAGTGTCTGAGTTTGCTCATAGTCAAAGGAGCGAGTAGCATGAACAGCTCCCGTCTGGGGGTTCAGAGAGATGAAAGAGGACGCCGACACATCTCGGTTTCTGGGCTCCAGGAGAGAGTAGGAGATCAGCGCATTCAAGCCAGAGTCTGGGTCAGAAGCTGCAAGGGAGCAAAGCAGGTCCCCTGGGCGATTGTTCTCAGGGACAAACACCTCATGGGACCTCTGGAAGAAAGAGGGTGGGTTATCATTCACATCTGAAATGTTGAGGAAAATCGTCCTGTGGGTACTCAAAGGGGGGTTCCCAGCATCAGAAGCAGTGACCAAGATGTCATAGCTGGATTTAGCCTCTCGGTCCAAAGTTCCAGCAGTCACCAGAGAAAACTGGTTTCTGAAAGCAGACTTGAGAGCGAATGGCAAGTGGTCAGGGATCCGGAGGCTGACATCTCCATTTGACCCCGAGTCAGGGTCCTGCACGCTGATGAGTGCTACCACGGTGCCAGGTTCTGCGTTCTCTGGGAGGGTCCCAAGTTCTGAGGTCACCGTGATGTGGGGGGCGTTGTCGTTTACATCCAGGAGATCCACCCGAAGACTGCAGTGTTGTTCCATGGCTGGAGAACCTCCATCTCGAGCCCGCACATCAAATTCATAGTAATTCTCGCTCTCAAAATCTAGGGGCCCCTGAAGGGTAAGCTTGCCAGTAGTGGGGTGCAAGCTAAAGAGGTTTCTCACACGATCAGGGGTGTGACCACTGAAAGAAAAGGTGACGTTACCGCTGGGACCCAGGTCCGGGTCAGAGGCATTGAGCTGTATGAGCACCATGCCGGCTGGAGCGCTCTCCAAAACGCTAATCCTGTAGCTCGATTGCTGGAAGGCCGGGGCGTTGTCATTTACGTCCAGCACGGAGACCCGGAGCTCCGCTGTGCCCGACCTGGGGGGGTTCCCGCCATCCACAGCAGTCAGCACCAGGCGGTAGTCCGATTGCTTCTCCCTATCCAAGGGCTTCTCCAGGAGCAGCTCTGGGACCAGGCTGCCGTCGCTGCGCTTCTTGACATCCAGGGCGAAGTGTTCGTTGGAGCTCAGCCTATAGCTGCTGATGGAGTTACTCCCCACATCTGCATCCTGAGCCTTTTCCAAGGGGAAACGCTGTCCTGGAGGAGCTGCCTCCCCAATTTCCAAGTCCAGTTGCTGCCGAGGAAATCGGGGGGCGTGATCATTCACATCGACGATTTCGACCTCCGCTCGGTACATCTCCAAAGGCCCTTCGGTTACAAACTCCAGAGGCACGATGCAGCTGGCACTCAGCCCACACAGTGCCTCTCGATCGAGTGGGCTCTTGATGAGCAGGGCCCCGCTGTCCAAATCCACACGGAAGTGCCTCTGGTTCACCTCTCCAGCGACCTGCAGCCTCCGAGCAGACAGACTCTCTGGATCCAGCAGGAAATCTTGGGCGACATTCCCTACAAAAGTCCCTTCCTGTGACTCCTCTGGGACTGGGTAGCGGATCTGCCCACAAACATAGCCCAGGTGGCAAAAGAGGAACAAAAGGGTAGCTCCCCGCCAGGTTTCTGCCCAGCTTCTCACCTTGCGGAGCATTGCTGCCTCCCGCCAGCTGTCTACCTAGAGCTGGCGAGCCCGAAGACGCCGACCCGCCCCAAGCGGCCACAGCAGCCGGAGACACCTATCTCCTTTTCCCCGCGCCAGCTCTGGCACGGCTCGGCCGGCGCCGTAAGGGTTACGCGCCGCTTTTTGCTGGTGGCGGGGTAGATTTGTCTGCCTTTCACCATCCGATTGGCAGACAGCGGTTCCTAGGCTCAGCCAATAGGCTGAGCAGAGAACGTCCCAATAGCAGCAGGGTTAATGCGTCGCAGCAAAGGGGGGGGAGGGGGGCGGCGAAAGAAAAAGAAAAGAAAATCCTGTATTTTCACCTTCCTCCCGCCCAACGGCATTTCTTTTCACGGGTTATTATCTTTGTGGAGCCGTAGTCAACATATATGTTTTTGTTTTTGTTTTTCCCCCCCAAAACAGACCAATGCCCCGCCCCCTTTTGGTTAGGCAAGCACTACAGATGAGCCTTAGCAACCAGCAGCCCAGAGAGCCAGTAGCCATTTGAGACTGGACACTCTATTCACGGCGGTGTTGTCATCAACCAATATTGTAAGCGGGTAGCTTCGCTCTCATTCTAACTGTACTAGAGCAGCAGCTACTGAGAAGCCTTGCCATATATTCAAATCTCTGCCTCTCGGCAGCATATTCAGAAGCGTATCCATCTCTTTGCAAACACGGCTTACACAGTAATGTAGACAATACAATTTATGCAGTACACGTTTTTATCGTAACAAGAGGCACAGCGGATATCAAACCTCTCTTATTCAAACACTTGCTAGTCATATATTAAAATGCCATTCAGTGATTTCCAAGACGGTACAGAAGCAGATGAAGTGGGGTAGAGGAAGCCAGGAGAGGGAGATGTTCCAAATCAGTAAAGAATCAGGGTGTCTGGAAGGCGTTAACGATTGGATCTCATTACCTGGCAGAATGCTAATGTTCACAGATTTAACAACTTCCTCGAATGATTGGGATCTGCTACCAATAGGATTGTGCCTACAAATCCCCTTTATTTGACACCACAGCAGCTTGATGTGTTGTTAATTACCAACAGAGACCTTTTTTAAAGTGTAAGCTTTTCACTTAGCCCCATGGGGCTTTTTGGAACTGGAGTCTTGATCTCACCCCACCCCCACTCCCTATCAGAACCTTCCAGGAGACTGGCACAAACACAGAAAACAGTTCATTTCACACTGTAGGCACTTGCAAGCTGCCATCTGAGTGGCAAACACACCAGAACACAGGACAAGAGAAATCTGGGCATGAGAATTCTGAACGTATCCACATCCTTACCCATGTTAAAACTGTCTGTCAAAACCAGCAGCAAAACCTAAGGTTCTGATCTTCCCCAGAATGTTTCCCAACCATTGAATAGCCTCAGGAATATCCTTGCGGCTAGCGTCAGGCCACAACCAACCTACTGGTCTCAGAGCGGGTAGATCTGGTTTTCTGTGTTCTTTTCACAAAATCCCTAAACCCCGCTCCATGGAAATGGTGGAGGTAGAAGTCAGCCCGACTGACAGCACTTGAGTCATCATCCAGTTACCTGAGTCAAAATTCTGGAGAACCCTTTGACTCATTCATTCCGCTCCTTCACCTCTACCGTATGTCAATCAGTAAGCTCTGATGGCTTTACTGTAGCATCGCCCTCCCTTAGACACTGCACTGGGTTGGCCGGATCTCCTCAAATATTGCTGTGGCCTCCTGTTATCTTTGGTCCCGGCCCCCAAATTCCAATCTATTTCCATCATGTCTGTCAGAGAACTCTCTAACACAAAAACTGATGACATCATATGTGTATCGTTTAAAAATTCTGCAGTGACAATCATCTATACAAAATAAAATAAAGTCTTAACATGGCTTAATGCCTACTCTGCCTGTTTGTGTCACCTCATCTCCTAAATAGACACACTCATTTTAGGGGTCAGCAGCAATGAAATAACGTGATTCCTTTGAATGAAATTTTGTGTAATGCCTTTTTCCCCCCCGCTCCCCACCTTTCTTTCTTTCTTAAAAAAAAGTTTTATTGGGGACTTGTACAACTCATCACAATCTGTACATCCATCCATTGTGTCAAGCACATTTGTACATTTGTTGACCTCATCATTCTCAAAACATTTGCTTTCTACTTGAGTCCTTGGTGTTAGCTCATTTTCCCCCCTCCCTGCACCTCTTCCCTCATGAACTCTGATCATTTATAACTTACTATTATTTTGTCATGTCTTACACTGTCCAATATCTCCCTTCACCCACTTTTTTGTTGTCCGTCCCCCAGGGAGGGGGTTATATGTAGGTCCTTGGAAACCATTCCTCCTTTCTACCCTATCTTCCCACCACCCTCCCAGTATTGCCACTCTCACTACTGGTCCTGGCGGGTTAGTCTGTCCTGGATTCCCAGTGTTTCTAGTTCCTATCTGTACCAGTGTACATCCTCTGGTCTAGCCTGATTTGTAAGGTAGAATTGGGATCATGATAGTGGAGGGGGGAGCATTTAGGAATTAGAGGAAAGTTGCATGTTTCATCGTTGCTTCACTGCACCCTGACTGGCTCATCTCCTCCCGGTGCCCTTTCTGTAAGGGGATGTCCATTTGTCTACTGATGGGCTTTGGGTCCCCACTCTACAATTCCCCTCATTCACAATGATCTGATTTTTTGTTCTTTGATGCCTGATACCTTATCCCTTCAACAACTTGTGATCCCACAGGCTGGTGTGCTTCTTCCATGTGGTCTTTGTTGCTTCTGAGCTGGATGGACCGTTGTTTACCTTCAAGCCTTTAAGACCCCACATTTGCTTATGCACCCACTTTGTCTTCAGTGATCATGTAGGGAAGGTGAGCATCATGGAATGCCAGTTTAATAGAACAAGGTGTTCTTGCATTGAGGGAGTACTTGAGTGGAGGCCCCATGTCCATCTGTTACCTTAATACGAAACCTATAAATATATGCACATAGATCTATTTCCCCATCATATATATATTTACATATGTATATGCCTGTATTTAGACCTCTATAAATGCCTCCTACTTCTTTCCTCTATTTCCTTTTACTTCCCTCTTGTCCCACTTTCTTCTTTGCTATTTGACAAATTGCTATTCATCCTTTATTACTGAGTTCAAGCATCATCACCTCTGTAAAGTCTTCCCTGATCCCAGTTTGGTGTTTCCTGCTCATTGTTTCCGATGCTGCTTGTATATGCAGACCTCAATTACAATTTATTTTGTGCATGTTTGTTTCCCTCCTCTGGCACACACTGTATCTGGATGCCATGAACAGGTGTCATTTTATCTTTTATAAGTGCCCAGCATAGTATCTGATACATAAGGATGTTCAATAAATGGAAAATTGTTGGTATTATAATTTATTGTTTCCACAAATATGTATCCAGTACTTGCTCTGTAAAGGCACTTATTTATATGCCTTTACTCTTTTACTCTCAACAACTTCACAAAGTCAGTACTACCTTTGTTTTATAGATGAGGAAATGAGTTTGGAGATATTAAATGACTCGTCTAGAACTGTACAACTAATATGTGCAGTATTAGCCCCCCATTCCTAGTCTGGCAACAAGTAAAGCCCTTTTCTACAATATCGTAAGTGATTTTTTTTCTGTCAGTTTGTCACTCCTGTAACCATACGTTGACCCTCTACTGATGTTCTTTAATATTCAAGCACTGGACCTCTTACAAGTCTCAATCCCTTATATTGGCAAGTTCATACCAAAATAAACAGGCACACAGGCTGTTTGCTAGACTCAAACCATGATAAACCCTTAATCCTACATGAGGGGGCTTTAACAAGTTGTGGGGGAAATGGAATTGAAAGATAATAAAGGCCTCTTGCATATCCTAGACTTGACACTTTTATGCCAACTATGTGATTCTCCCATATCTAGATTTTCAAAAGTCTTATTGAGATATAATTCATATGCCATATACTCCATTCATTTAAAGTGTAAAATTCAATTTTTTAGTATATTCAGAACTGTGAAACATCACTAAAATCTAATTATAGAATATGTTTTTCACTCCAACATGAAACTCCACATCCATTACCCTGTTGCCCGAGCACTGGCAGTTTTGAAAGGAAATTTTTTTTCTTTTGGATAATTGAAATGCCATCTTATATCTTCTCTAAAATGCTCTTCTAGTGCAATTCTATAGAATGCTCTAAGGTTGGCAAATGGCATTATAACGTTCTTTAAACTGGGCCTTCCTTGTTCAATCAAGCTGAACACCAGAGTAACACTTTGTTTTAGAAATAGGATAATGGATAGATTGGAAGGTTCTGGGATGATCGTTTTCTCACTTATCTCACCTTGGAACCATCTGGGAGTCTCCAGAGGTTATTCATGTGGGTGTCCCATACACAGCGATTACACTGGGTTGTGGCCTCAGCATCAGAATTGTTAGAAGATCCCTAGGTGACTCTAGTGAACAACCATGTTTGCAAACATTGTTCTTAGGAAAAAGACAGTTGTTTTCCAGGCTCACCAGAACCACAAGTGCTTTTCTCTGGCTTTCATACCTGATCATCTTTGACTATACCTAAATTTGCTAATTTCCAATGAACCACTAATAAAAAATCTTAATAGTAATAGCTAATAGTTATTGCACACATATTCCCTTTTTGCATGGGACACATGTTTAGAAAGAGTAAGTAATGTATAGTTAAGAAGTGGTGAAACCTCCTTTGCCTAACTGCAGAATCCCAGGGTTGAATGAAATAGTATTTCTCCGCAGTAACAAAGTAAGAGTTTCTTTCACAGTTGGAAGTGCACATAAATTTACCTTCTAGACAAAGGCCTTGAAATAATCAGCACATCATCCTGAATGAATAAAAGTTTTACTTTTCAAAGGCTATGAATTTATATGTCTGCCTAGAGAAATAATGCTGGAGGACAGAGGATGGCACTAGGGCACAAAAGGGCTATCGTTTTGTACTTTATGTTATTGTGGATCGTCTGGATTTATTTTTCAGAAAAAAGTACTTTATACTCAGCAGTGACTGTCTTTTGGCTTGGAGAGTACAGCTAATTGATGGTTTTCTTCATAATTTTCTGTATTTCCCAATTTTCAACAATGTACATTATAGAATTACTTTTATGTAAATATGTTGTGTCAGTTAAAAAAAAGTGCACACCATTTCATGTAGTGTGCTTGAAGTAAAATTTAAGAGATGCCTAGAATTTTCTTTCATAGAAAATTCCTTGAGAATGAGGTACAGGATGTGTGTAGGCTACGGAAAAGTATAAGCTAACTGTTATTATTTAATGAAGAAAGATGGATGCATGAGGTCGTTTCTATATTCCTAGCTGCTGCCCCTAGCTAGAGGTCTCTAGTATTGTGGTCCCAATGCGAATGACACCTGGTTAGAGTGCTGAAATACACTTTAAGGGTCTCTGAGTCTTGATGATGAGTGCTGAGGGTGGGAATTAGGTCCACAGATGAGTCAATTAACTCCAACCTGAAATGAGAGCAAGGCCCACGCTAGCACGACCATCCCCTCCTCAAAAAGGAGAAACTCGATCTAAGGAGAAGACCAGGTGGAAGTGTGGCAGCATCCTCAGGAAAACATTCGAAAAACGGCCCTTTACCTTCCTGCACAAGGTACAAGCATTAAAAAGTCTTAGTATCATTCTGGGCTGGATTGCCACCCCTTACCTGTCCAGGAGGGGCGCTCTCTGCACCCAACACCTGCCTATAGAACACAGGGTCGCAGCTTCGCAGCGTGTTTTGGTGGCTGGACAGTGGGCTGGCGGCATTGGGTTTCTTCAGCAGGGGATCACTGCGTCGGGAATCCGTGGTGAGGTACACCTGATGGTAGAGGTGCGGCGTAACAGGTAACAGACCGCCCGGCAGAGCATCCGTGTGCAACGAGGGACCTGGTGTCCGGTACAGGGAGCTCGCGGGACCTCGGTACAAGTACCTGGATTGCTTCCACTTGTAAACTTTGAATATGATCACTCCCAAGACTGTGGCTGCGAACACCACAGAGACGAGGATTAGGGAGAGAAGTAGATAGAAGGTGAGATTTTTATTCTGCTCCCCGGGGTCAGAGCCAGACGGGAACTCAGCCCGGGCCTCTGGCGATTCCTCAGTTACTGACACAGTCAGGGTGGCAGTGGTGGACAGCGACGGCTCCCCATTATCTGTGATCAAGACCGTGAGAATCTGCCTGGGTGAATCTGTGTCCTGGACAGGGCGGGCTGTGCTGACCTGACCCGAGCGAAGTCCGACATTAAAAAGACTCTGGTTGGGGGCTCCCAAGAGATTGTAGGAAAGCCAGGCATTGTGCCCTGCATCTGCGTCCCAGCCTACCACCCGCGTGATCAAGTGGCCCGCCGAGGTACCTCGAGGCAGTGTCTCCACGGAGCTCCTGTCTGGCCAGGGGTATAGAACTTGGGGAGCATTGTCATTTCGGTCAGTGACGAATATGTTCAAGCTAATGTTGGTGGTCAGGACTGGGGTGCCGCCATCGCTGATAAGTGCTGTTAGTTCGAACTCTCGTTGGTCCTCGTGGTCCAGGGCTATTAAGGATGACACGACGCCACTGTCACGACTGATGGCGAAATAACGACCCACCAAACCAGCCTCACCTCCTGGTTCCAAGAGAGAAAAGGATAGGCGAGCATTGTGTGGGGCGTCGGGATCCCAGACGCTTAGGTTTAGTATTGGAACGCCAGGGAGGTTATTTTCCTCAACGTATACGTCGTAGGAAGATTGGGAAGATTGTGGAGGGTTGTCGTTGATGTCAGACACTAGGACGTGCACTGTAGTAAGGGCTGAGAGGGAAGGGGTCCCTGAGTCTCTAGCCGTGAGGCTGAGGTTGTATTCTGGGACGGCCTCGCGATCCAGGGCTGCGCTGGTTTTTAAAGTGAAGTAATTCTGGAGGGAAGACGTGAGGCTGAAGGGGAGACCTGGAGGAACCTCGCAAGCCACCAGGCCGTTCTCCCCAGCATCCAGATCCGTCACGCTGAGCAAAGCAATGACAGTCCCTAGGGGGGCATCCTCAGGGACAGGACTGTACACAGAGGTGACTGTAATCTCCGGGGCATTGTCATTCACGTCCATAACCTCTACCAAAACTTTGCAATGTGCTCCTTCGGGATTGGCGCCTTTGTCTTTGGCCTGGATGTAAATCTCGTGGAGTTTCGTGTCTTCAAAGTCCAATTGGCCCTTGATGGTCAGTAAGCCAGTGACGGGATCTAAGGCGAATAGGTCCTGCACGCCAGCACGAGTGTGGCTGCCGAAAGAGTACACAATTTCACCGTTGGGGCCTTCATCCAGGTCTGTCGCTCGGACTTGCACCACGCGCGTGCCTGCGGGTGCATCTTCCCGGACCCGCGCCCGGTACAAGGACTGATTGAAGGCCGGGACATTGTCATTCGCGTCCAAAACAGTGATTCGAATGGGAAGACTGGAGGAGCGGGGCGGGGTCCCGCCATCTAAAGCCGTCAGCACCAACTGGATCCTTGGCTCCCGCTCCCAGTCCAGGGCGCGCTCCAGCACCAGCTCCGCGTACTTGGTGCCGTCCTCCCGCGTCTGCACGCGCAGCGCGAAGTACTCGTTGGGGCTCAGCTCATACGTTTGTAAAGAGTTGCTGCCCACATCGGGATCGTGCGCGCTCTCGAGTGGGAAGCGCGTCCCCAGCGCCACAGCCTCGCTAATCTCCAATTCCATTTCCCGGGTAGGGAAAGAGGGATTGTTGTCGTTGATGTCCTGGATCACCACTTCCGCTCGGAACAATTCCAGCGGCCTCTCCAAGATCAACTCCAGAGTTACAGTGCAGGAGGGCAGGGTCCCGCACAGCTCCTCGCGGTCCAGACGGTCGTTCACGAACATCTCTCCCGTCTCCCAGTTCACCTCAAAGAATTTCCTGCTAGCCCCGGACACCACCCGGAGCCTGCGGACCGACAGGCTGCGGGGATCCAGGCCCAGGTCCGCGACCACGTTGCCCACTGCGAAACCCTTCGCTCTTTCCTCCGAGATCTCATAGCGAATGTGGGCGGACGCCTGGGGCTCTAAGACAGCGAGCAGCGCCAAGACTCCCAGCACGCTCCCGGGGCTCACCAGTCCGCTGCTCCGGGCCGCTGGGACCATCTCACTCGAAGGCAGTTCGCGCAGGGGGGGCCCGACCGTCCCGGCTGTTTCGCGGAGAAACTTTCAGCGGGTTAGCGCTCGGGCGCCGGGCGCCGTGTCGGACATGGCTTTCCGGATGCCTTTGATTTGCTCGCCCGCGGTTCAGTCTCTGCTTCCTCGCGGGGCTCCGAAAGGGGACGGGCCCGGCCGGATCTCCAGCGTCTTCATTGGACGACAGCGGCACACACAGTCCCAGCCAATAATTGCACGAAGAATGCGCTAGCGCCGGCTCCGAGAGCGGGACTAGCGCTAGCGCCAGGAACTTCCCTTTCCCCTGGCGGCCTTCCAGAGTTCTGCGCCCGAGCGTCTTGGCTGTACATTGGAATGTTACCTTCGCCTGGAAAGTCAACTGCGCGCCGGAGGCGCTGGCCGCTCTGCACGTCCTCTCTCCCGGCCACGTCAAGTCGTTTAACGCTTTCATCGCAAGAAAGCGGACCCAAAGACTCGAAAACGACACAATGTGGTCTGGTAACAAACAACTGTGGACACAGTCGAGTTGTTGGGAAAACTGGATAAAATCGGTCCCGCCAGCCCCTACTTTGGAGGAGGCAGTTAGCAGCGCTGCGGTGATGTTTATAATTTTGGCTTTTACAACATGAGGCTACGGATTTTTCCATCACTTCCCCAGGAACTACAGTCCGTTTTAATTGAACTCTTTAGAGAATTAAAAAAAAACCCCACATATTTCCGATTTAATTTATTTAGAAACTGGATGTTGTTTAGTCTTCATTTTTTATGAACCAGGTGAACATTTCCTACTCTTTCTCAAAGAGAATCATTTCAAGTGTTTTCCTTTCTTGATTAATCCTTTCCCCAAGATCCTGCATTGACATGTCAGGGAGAAGTTGCATAAAAGTACCCAGAAAATTCCGCCTATTTACCACTTGGGACCTTTCTAAAATGATGAGAATAATAGCTTCAATCTTTCTGTATTGAGGATCACAGTCATCAAATAGCCTTGATTATCCTAATAAATAATCAAATTAACTATTAAATAAAACAGAGCTAGTTGTATGTCCTTGACTAAGAAACCACCTTCTTCAGGGACTGAGGCCCCATATCCTATTAGATGAATAAGGAAAAGCACCTCTCAGAGAGTAAGCCTCAATTAATGGGCAAATGACCCTGTTAGAGACTAGATGTGGCTTTAGAGCCTCATACTATTTCTACAGACTTGCCTTGGACATACTTTGGATTAGCTATAATCTTTCTGAAAGTAGAACTTGAACACCTGGAACTCAGGTAGGTTAGTAGACAGGCCAGTTAGCTAGGTAGAGAGGAATATGTGATTTTAGGATACTTACTAAAGACCCAAAAAGCTCACTAATTTAATCTCTTAAAATCCTCAGTTAAAAACACTCACATTTGACAACGGGTCAGACCATTAGGAAAGCTGACATAGAATGAAGAACACATTTCCTATATTCTAGAGTATGTATATTTCTATGCGGAAATATTCGAAGTGTAAGCAAGGAACACAGGCATAGGAACTTATTTAAAAATGTAGAAATGTCCTACTCCATACCTTCTGACCAGAATTTGCATTTTAACAAAATACTTGGTGATTTCCCTCCCCCACTCATTGTCACTTAGTTTACAATCTTGTTTTGGAAAAGTGACTTCGAATTTTTCATTCATTTCCTTATTAATAAACCCAAGCCCACTGCCACTGAATAGATCCTGATTCACAGTGATCTTATATGAGGTTTCTATGGTTGCAAATCAATACAGAAGCAGACAGCTTCATCTCTCTCCCACAAAGCAGCTTGTGGGTTTGAGCTGTGGATCTTGGGGTTAGCAACTCAAAGCTTATCCAACACAGTGTTTGCTTATTTGGACATTTGATTGCTATTTGGGCAAACGTTTGGAGAGCAAATAGTTTTCCATTCCATAGCATTTTGTTTTGTAACATCAGTTGCAATCATAACAACGCAACAGCACTCTGCCCCCCTTTCCGTGGGTCCCTCATTTCCATTTGCCCACCTTCCTGGCACCTTCCTGCTTTCTGAATCTCATTTCTTTTGGTCTCTGGTGGTTGATTGTTCTGAGAAGCACTTTCCTCCAAAGTGTCACTGTTCACTTGCTAGGCCTCTCTTGTTTGGCTGCAGGGTGATTCCCAGGAGTGGGTCAAGTGCATGCGTGAAGTGTCTCTAAGGGCCATAATCTTCGGGGGTTCTACCAGCGGGTATCAGACTAGTCAATCTGGCCATTTTTATGATTTTGAATTGTTCCCACTCTGTGCAGGACAGTCTATTATGATCTTGACCAGAGCAGTGGTAATGGTTGTTAATATATGTCTCCTATTGGCTCCTGAAACCATAGATAGGGTCACTGTCCGTCAGAATATACTCATGGCAGTGGGTATCTAGTTAGTGGTTTCCCTGTCTTAACGCTCTCATCCCTGGTAATCATCCAAGAATGTTTCTCTCTGTGTGTAAACTTTTGACTCTTATTGGTGGTAGGCTACAATATTTGTCTTTTGTGATTGACTAATTGCCAATGTGGCTGCAACAATGGGCTCAAATATAGGTACAATTGTGAGGATGGCGCAGGACTTGCAGCCACTGTGCCAATTTATCTCCCGGAGGGCCTTCCTCTTTTTCACTGTCCCTCCACTTTACGAAGCATGATGTCCTTCTCCAGGGACTGGTCTCTCCTGACATGTCCACTGTATGTTAGACAAACTTGTCTTTCTGGCCTCTAAGGAGCATCTGGCCATATCTGTCTTCTTCCAAGACAGATTTATTTGTCCTTTAAGCAGTCCATGGTACTTTCCATATTCTTCAGTTTTGAAGTACAATGCTGTCTGGATTGGAGTATATTTATCTGCCTTCAAGGAAATCCAATCAATACAAATACTATTCAAATTTATGTACCGTTACTAAAGCTAATGATGAAGAAATTGAAGAATTCTACCAATGACTTCAGTCAAAAATTGATCAAACATGCAATCAAGATGCAGTGGTAATCAATAGCAATTGGCTGTAAGAGTACCCAATAAAATGATTTATTAAAAAATTTTAAAGGGATTGAATTAATTCCCCCCCCCAAATTATTGGCAATTGGAATGCAAAACAAACAAAAACAAAAAGGAAGGAACAGTAGTTTGGGAACAAAGTTTAGAAATAGTAGTTGGCAAATATGGTTTTGGTGATAGAAATGAAGCTGGAGAACACATGAAAGGTTTTGGCAGACCCGCGACTTATTCAAAGAAAATACCTTCTTTCAACAACATAAAAGGTGACTCCACACTTGGACTTCTCCAGATAGAATAGACAGAAATCAAATAGACTACATCGGTGGGAAGAAATGATGGAGGAGCTCAATATCAGCGACTAAACCCAGGCCACGAGGCTGACTGTGAAACTGACTATAAATTGTTTACATGTAAGTTCAGGTTAAAGCTGAAGAAAACAAAAGCAGGTCCAAAAGAGCCAACAATACGACCTTGAGTCTCTCCCACCTGAATTTTGAGAACATCTCAAGAAGAGATTTGAAGCAGTGAACACTCATGACAAGACCTGCGGAGCTGTGGGAGGTCATCGAGAACATCATACACAAAGAAATCCAAAGGTCATTAAAAAAGCAGGAAAAGAAAGAAAAAATCAAAGTGGATGCCAGATGAGACTCTGAAACTTGCTCTTAGTCCTGTTCTGTTTTGATTTACATCTCTCAAATAGCTAATGAAAGAGCCCTGGTGGGACTGTCAAGTTGAATAGGTCAACAGTCCAAGAGAGAAAGACGAAACTATCTGTCCCTACAGAGATTTACAGCCTTGAAACCTTGCATAGGATTGCTATCAGTCAAAAGCAGCTCAACGGCAATGGGTACATAAAATAATTCATGATTGCCAGCATCTCTTCATGTTGGATCATCCGCATGGCTTCCTTGGTGAAGCGTCGGTTTATGTCCTCTGCCCATTTAAAACTGGATTGTTTATTTGTTGTTGAGGTGTTTAAGTGTTCTATAAATTTTAGAGATCAGTCCCTTGTCAAATATATTGTTGCCAAAAGTTTCCCCCTCCCCCTACCTTCTGTAGGTTCTCTTTTGGAGAAGTTTGGGATGTGCTGAAGTGCTTCGTTTTTAAAAGGTCCCAGTCTCAGTCCATCTCCTGCTCCTTGTGAATTTTTAGTTATAGTTGATAGATTATTTACATCACAAATTAAGGACCCCAAATTTGCTCCTATTTTTTTCTTCCATGATGTTTATAATATTAGGTTTTACATTTAGGCCTTTGGTTCATTTTGAATTAGTTTTTGTCTGTGGTGTGAGTTATGATCTTATTTCGTTTTCATCCAGTTTTCCCTGCAGCATTTGTAGAAGAGGTTACCTTCAATCGACCTATCTATTGGGCTTCGAACCCTTTCTCAAAGATCAGCTGTCTGCAGGATTTCCGCAGGGGTTCTCAATCCTGTCCCCTGGTTTCTGTGTCCTTCGCTGTCTCGGAGCAGGCTGGGTTGGTAACCACGGCTCTGAGACCAGACGTGCGGCTCTTGCTCTGCTCTCCAGAAGTGTTCTGCAGATCTGGGTTCTCTTTTCTTTCCATATAAAGTTGGTTTGTTTCTCCATCTCTTTAAACAATATTGATGGCATGTGGATCAGGAATGTATTATTTCTCTAGAAATTTTGAGTAGTATTAGCATTTTTAAATTGTAAGGTCTTCCTAACCATAAGCATGGTTTGTTTTCCCATTTCTAAAGGTTTCTTTTAATAGTGTTTTGTAATTTTCTTAGTATAAATATTTTATATCCCTGTTTAGTTTTAGTCCTAGGTATTTGATCTGTTTTGTGGCCATTATAAATGGTATTTCCCCCCTAATTTCCTTTTCAGAGTTCTCTTTGTTAGTGTAGAGGAATCTGACTGATTTTACCTTACCACATGACTGAATCCTTCTATTAGGTCCAATAGCCTTCTTATCGAATCTTTGGGATTTTCCCTGTGTAGGAGCATCTCATCTGCAA